CATATATATTATCCACACTCCTGAAGTATCACAAATAAGAACAACGATTAACTTTTTACAACCTACTTCATTTTACTTTAAGTATCCTGTTTTGTTTTGGGTTTTGTAAAGGCTGCTTTAGCAGTTAGTTAATAAATACTGTCATACACCTGGAAGACCCAATGAAACAGCAGTTTATCAATTATGCATATTTTCCAACTTCAACCATCTAGAACGCAATCAATGAACAATGCATGTGGTTAAGATACACTGTGTATTTCACATCTGCAGCATTTGCATTTCCTGCTTGTAACCTTTGCATGTTCTATCACAATTAATGACCCTGACACCAATCAGGGTTTGTTATTTAGGCAAAACAGTATCAAAACAGCACTAAGTGTATTTTCAAATGATCAAACCAAAGCATTTCAAAGCTACCTCACTGGTCATTACAACATAGGAATGGCTCTGTCTGCCAGACCAACAGACCACCAACCTCAGTATGTCACTTCTGTACCACCGTCAAAGAGGCAGCTCCATGGGAATAGCACAAACCCAGAAGAGTAAACCTCAGAAAACATTCCAAATTTTTTAAAAAACCCTTGTAAATGAAGTGTCCTAAGCCACAGTATCTCTGACTTTAGATACCCCCAGGCATTTTTCTTCACTGAACTCATCCAAACACTTTTTGACTCAGGGACATTTTAGCATCTATAATAGCCCCGTCCACAAAATTCCACTAATTCCAAAAAAGCCACTGTTTTTTTTTTAAATACTTAATTTCACTTCAGCTGCTCACTGAGACACACCAATTCTTTCCTTAAACTAGTGACCATTCTATAACCCTCATAACCAATTTCACTTCCAGTCTAGCATCAAAACAAATCATTTGTTTGCCAAAAACAAGGTGAAGTCTGTGCTATCAGAAGAATCAACTGTTCCTCCAACTTTTAAGAAACATACCCAGCATTATCCCTCCTGTCAAACTTGTGAAGTACACCAAGCTACATATAGCCAGATACATCTACAAATGATTCTTGCTACACTTTGTAAATGATGAAGCTTTGAAAAATGCTGGAATACTGCATGAGTTTATCTGCACGGAACATGGTCTCATCTAGCTCATGTTATTAACATATTACATATGTCTACATACTTACAGTTACATGTAAAGTAACTAATTTAGATAATTACCTCAAATCTGTAAGATTACCAGGAAGATACACTTTTCTGTTTAAGAATATGCCATTGGGATGTAATTCTGCAATACTTAAGGGTTTCCAAAGTTCATACTTTAATGAGCTGCTCTCCACCCCAAAAAGAATAAGAAAATAAGGCATGCGAGTAGTTTAGTTTAACACTTATATAAAGAACACAAAATGTTAAAGTAACTAAATGCTCCCATAATGTCACTGAATAGTTGGAATAAAGAGCATTTGTAAAATTAGATAAATAAGGAACATCAGTTGCATGTCACTAAAGCCATCATTTTATATTACCATTGAATCACAAAATAGGTAGGGTTGGAAAGGATCATGTATTTACCACCTGTTAATGCTGTTTATGCTGAAATTTAATGTATTTTCTTTTGAGTATGTTTCTTAATTATTCCTCCTATTCATTAAAACATTTGGAAGTAGCATCTACTGCTAATTCTCTCTCAGCACATTCCTGTGTGATTTTGAAGTATCTTAAGAGTACTCAATCACATCTTAATCTGGTTCAGAAAACGTGAGTAAACTGCACAACTGCAACTTTAGCCTAGCCTAGCATCATTAGCCTGCAAGTCCCATAAGTAAGTGGAATTCTATTCATTTCCGCCTCAAAAAAAAAAGCTGTCTGATGAGAATTCCTTTTTGACACAACTTTATCTTCCTTCTCTGAGTTTCTATAGTGCACCTCCAGTGTTCTCCCACCCACGTTTCTTTTTCTTTTAGTAGACTACAGAGTGACTTACCTGCTAAAGGAAACAATTCTAACAAATACATACCATCCAGCAATATGGGCTTGCTGTAACTCCTCTAAAATGTGTAAGAGTCTTAGAAACCTAACTGAATTTATCTCAGTATAACAGCTACCAAGACCAAGGTAGATCAAAGTTACAGTTAAAGTTACACAATACTGTTACAGTGAGAAACTTTCTTTTAGAAATAGAGAATAGAGAACAGACCCAGACCCAGAAGTTAAAGCGATCAACACACTATGCAAGGCCAGACTACTTCCTTTCAACACAGCAGTGAGTAAATGCTGAAAAAAGTTACTGTGGCAGCCAGTATTACAAGTGAAAGATAAAAAAGTGTACTACAGTTCAAGTACTACTCTTCTAATATTTGACAATTCTATACTTCATATAGATTTGCAGACAGATTTGGCAAATAGTTATGTTGCACCACTTGAGCACACAGGAAGAACAGCCATACACCTCAACCGTTGGAAAAGACAGTGTAAAATGATTAACAGTTAAGATTCAAAGTCTGATATGACAGACTTAAGTCTACTAGTACTTCTTCAGATTCAAAGCTTTGAGACCCTTTGTCAATTTGGCTGTAGTATAAACCCCAAGATAATTCAGTAACATGTACTTTATTTATGAAAATGTGTCCCATAGACCGGGAGAATGACAGAACAAGAAGTTCATCACAAGCTCCAAGAAAGAATGAATCGCTACTGGAGATCACCTCCCCTTGCACCATCACCCCATACACAAAGAGCACTCTTACTAGGGGTGAGCAACTCTTCCAGTCACTTGAACTAGACTGGGGAAAAAAAAGGCGGGGGGGGGAGAGGGGAGGCATGAAGGGAATCAGGATTCCCATTAATTTCATCATTAATTTCATTTTCAGGACAGGTAAATAGAATCACATATATTGTTAAGTCATTTGGGGTTCCACATACTTTCTATAAAACACTGTTTGCAAAGTTATCAAGTCAACCTAGAAAAAACCTGTAACTGCCAGCACTGAAAAACATTTAGAGTTTGCTGTCATGTTAAAAGAAGGAAGAAATTACCTGCATGAGGAGAGCTGCGTCTAAAAGAAACCAACTCCTACACTTCCATATTAATTAGCTGTCATGCTACAGAATTTGCATTTTTTTCCCCTTCAACCGAGGAGGCCTCATATCATGACAAAACTTACCCTTGTACATAGTAACACTGTCAGCAGTTTCAACAGACAAAACCATTGCTCGTGGTCCAAACTATTAATGCTTTATAAGTCAAAAAATATACTGGGACTTTTCAACTCAAGTTGTAGAATGAAAAAAAAAACAAAAAACAAACCAAACAGCCAACTAAACCCAACCACAGGCCTGGTAAGTATCTCTTCCAAAAATACTCTTAACGCATTCCTGTATCAGTCTTCACCACTGCACAGGCTGACATTTAAAATCCAAATGTAATGCTCTCCCCCTTTCTTACCCTGGGCTTCCAAACTTATAAAACCCACCAACCTCATGCATACGTACTGTGCAGTGATTATGTTGTCATGACCTGAAGCACCCATGAGGCAGAGTGAATCAACACATATATACCCAGGGTCAGAATGACTGCAGCACCTTCAGAAATAATCAACTGAAACAGCATGGCCATGAATAACAGCAGTTACAAACAAAAGCAGCAGACTTGGCAAGCACACATCACATGGTGTCTAGAGGCCACTTGAGTTCACAGCAGCACTTTTTTCAGTCAGCTAGAGCTTTCCAAGTCTCCCAAATGAGCTTTACATTAGAATACAGAATGCAGCTTCATATTAAAGCAACAAACCTATATATAAATCTTTCAAGATTTTTTTTTTTTGCTAATGAATGACACTAAACTAACATATAAACATAATGCTAGAACAAATAAGAAAAAGTCAATTATTCTCTGCTAAAAATGTCCACCAAACTGATTTCAAAAACAGCCATTCAACAAGACTTAAAATAAGACAGCCTGTAAGTGAAACATCATCATATTTCCCTTGTTGGGTTTTTTCAATTCTCTCTTAATTATAGTTGTAACAAAAATAGTGCAGATTACATGCTTATTATAGAGCTGAGAAGTTCTGAATTAATTGCCCAGGCTCAGGTATAGTTTTTGGTTCTGAAATCTGACAGTAAATACCTCACAAACGCTGGCTGCTACTGCAGCATGCTACCAAAAACTCTAATTACAGTGCAATTTGATGGAATGGCACTCCAAGACAGTAAACATTCACTCAGTACAAAAATGGCCAAAAATTCTTTGGAAGCAATTATGTTTCTTAACTGTCACTGTCACATTTCTGTCCTACAAAACAGTAACGACTCCTATACAGATACCTCACACTCAGTGGATTTTGCAATGTATACATAAACTTGTAATAGTCTATATATTGCTTTATTTTTATGTACAAATGTAATTAGTAGAGACATCCTTCCTATTACTGAAAGTGAACGTTAATGGCAAGAGAGCTATACTGGAACTCCAACACTTACCCTCTACCCTGAAAAATTATTCAATTTTTGTTTCTAAGATGAAGTTTATATTTTTATGTATATTAAAGTGAACATGCTGAAGACCCATCAACTCCGCGCAATTCTTCAGCGGGTGTTCCTCCCATTCTTTGAAATCTCCAAAGAAACGAGGCAGAAAGCGAGCACACACGCACCACCTGTCTCAAACCGGAGTGACTGGCCAAGTCCCTTCCTTGCGATTTACCTGAACACCCTTTCCTCGTCCTCTCCCTGCTCGGGAGGCAGGCAGTCCTGCCTCTTGGCAGCCCTCTCTTCTCCCCCAAAGCACCTACTCGCTGAGCTTCGGGGAGGCGCTAGTTCTCCCAGACCCGGAGGCTCTTGCTCCCGATAACCTGCTCCCAGGGCTGCGGAGGCCGCCGGCCCGGAGAGCCCCGGAGTCATTGTGCCGAGGGAGACGACCGCAGCTGTCACGGCACAGCCCGCCGTGCCGCGGGCGGGCGGGGAAGAGGGCCAGCAGTCCCACGCCGTTGCAGTGCACGCCCGTCCTTCCGCGGCCGTCCTTCAGGACCTGCAACGCGCGGAGCAGGGGCTGCCTCCGGAGCCAGGAGCCCAGGCGAGCGCCATGCTAAAAACCAAAATGGCTGCCCCAGGGAAAGAAGCCCAGCTCAGGCTGTGAGGGGCTGCGCCTTCGCATACCCAGCCTCTTCGCTCGCCGGACGTCGCCAAGGTATCGTCTCCAAGCCACAGCGATCGGCTCAGCCTCAGAGGCCCAACAGGCTCCGCTCGCCCGCGCAGCTTTGCTCCCGCTTCCCGAGCGCGGCCCGGTCCCCAGAGCCCACCGAGCCGGTTCCGGCCTATGCCTCGCTCCGCACGGAGCCGGCCCTCGCTCCCCGTACCTGAAGCTCGGCCCGCTCCACCTCCCAGTGCGCCCTCTCCATCTCGAAGCGAGCCCACTCATGCTGGATGTAGTGCAGGATACCCGGAATGGTGTAGTGCTGGGGCCGGGACAGCTCGGCGGGGCCCGCTGCCTCCTGGCCAGCCGGGGCCGCGGGGCCCTGGGGCTGCTGCTGTGACCCTCCTCCGGCTCCTGGCCCCACGCAGCCCCCACCCGACTGCAGGTTCATGTTCCCACCCGCCTGCGGCGGTGGCTGCTGCGGTCTCGGGGCGGCCGCCATCCCACCACCTCCTCCGGCTCCAGGGTGCTCGTCCATTGTCTGCGGGGAGCCCTCCTCCTCGTCCCGCGGCTGGGGCCTGGAGCAGGGGCCAGGGAGGGGGTGAGCGGAGCTGGCTGGTGAGGAGGGGGGCGGGCCGGGCACGGGGAGGGGGGACTGCGCCGAGCCGTATCCGGGTGTCAGAGCAGCGCCGAACCTCCACCAGCCGCCATTACAGCCGTCGGCCCACCCACCCGCGGCCGGGCGGGGAGGAGGAACGACGCCGCGCATGCCGGGAAATCGCTCCCCTCGGCAGCCGGCCTCCTCCTCCGGGACGGGCAAGCGGTGGAGTGCGCATGCGCGGGAGGGGAGGTGAGCGCTGTGCCCTGGGGGCGGGCGAGCGGCTTTGGGGGGAGGCACACCGTCTCCCAGGGGACAGCCACCCTGGTACAGGATGTAGCGGCAGTAGCCGTGAGGAGAGGAAGGCTCCAGACCCCGGTGCGTCAGTCGGTGCCGACGCTGGCGGGCCCGGGCCCGGGTCCGGGTCCGGTCTCCGCGGGACAGCGCGTCCAGGCGGCTTCCGGCCGCTGTGGAGCGAGAGGCGGAAGTAGTGGTGTTACGCTGGGATGGCGGAGGTTTGGCTCGCCGGCGCCTCGGAAGCGTCAGACGCTCTCGTGAAAGCCCCATGAATGGCCCGGTCCGGGGTCTGAGCCTGGGCGTGCCGCTCAGTCCGGCGTGCAGGCGGCACGGCGGGGATTGAATGCTGAAGCCTCTCAAACTCGGCGCTGTTTATGGTGCGCTGAAGTTGCCCCGCAGAGGGGTGGTTTTAGAATGGAGTTCTTAAATTTATGGCGTATCTCTGGAAGTTGACGCGAGTGGTCATCTTTATGTCTCAGTGATAAGGCACGTGTGCAATGCATTCCCTCCTTAAGCAGGGGAAGTGCACAATGTTGGCTATCCAAAAGTGTTTTCCACATGAGGAAAGGTTTGCCAGAAAATCAGTGGTTTATTTTTGCCTTTATCAGCTTCACATGTGATGACAATGCTGTATTTGGTGCACAGCTTGGGTAGGGTGAAATTGCCTCAGTTGCAAAATGAAGCTCTGAAATGAAATATTTACAGATTATCATCACAATCTATTTGAACTGAACTGTAGGTCACCCATTGTAAGTCAGGTAGGAGTTTGGGTTTGCCTCTCTTCAAAATATTTACATGCTGTACTCATTCAGTAAAAAATTGGATAGTTTCCTAAACAGGGCTCATGCTTGGCAGAGCTGGAATTGTGTTAATTACTGAAAAAAAAAATACTGCTCATCACAGTACTGGTATTTCCTTTCTGTACTAATCTCTCCTCAGGTGCATATTGACATTTCAGTTGATTTGTTCAGTCCTTCCTTTTTTGCCCGTTAAGTCATTTCCCAATAGAATTTCATCCTGCGGTCTTCCTGATTCCATGCAGATTAGCCCATCTAAATTCAAAGCCTTTCCACCTCAGCTGATTTTTTTCATTGTCTACTGACAATATCAAATCATTACCAAAAGTTAAGACATGTAACTAGTTTAGCCTTTTTTTTAGCCCCAGTCTCATGGGACATTCCTCATTCTTGAGTATATGGGAGTTACTGCAATTTAATTCTGTTTCTATATTCAGCCAGTATTTTGACAACTCAGTGGCAAAGGAAAACTTTTTTACTCTTTCCTTCCTCCCTGACTTCCCTGGATTAATAAGGTTTCTTTTTTAGAATCCCTGATCCTGAAGTTGGACACAGTACTTTATTTTAAAGTCACATGGACATACTTGTTTCATCTTTGGATGAATTTTAATGTGCACAATAGTAAGATCTAGAATACAAAAATTACTGTTACTGATAAATATTAACACTGCATGTGATTTTTGTTAAAGCCTTGTCCATGATCATAACAAAAGTAGGAAGAGCAAGGGTTTAGAGTATGTGAGCGGTGTTTGTTTGCTCCATACTTCTGTACAATAAATTCATAGCCAGGAAGCTCTGTAGGCAGATCTGTATCTCAGAAGTATTCGTTCCCATACTGTCATCTACTTGTGCCTCTACTGTTTAGCCATTTTTTTATTCTCATTAATGCTTTCATTCCAGTTTAACCGTTTGTTCTACACTTAGTACACACATAAAGTGCGTTTAAACCTATGCATCCAGAAACCCAACTTATTTAGAGTTGGACAGTGCAGTAAATTATAGTTCTATCTAACAGTTATATTTTTATTCTTCTTTTATTCTGGTGAAGCAGTTCTGTAAAAACTGTAGTGTACTTTTTTGTTTGCTAGAGCTGGTCTCTTATTTACATTTTAGCTGAGAAGCCATGGAATATTGCAAAACATTACAGTGCAATAACTAAAATGTTTCTAAACCTATGGACATTGGCTAGAGTTGTTTTAGGTTGAGAGACGAGTCTAATTTGAATGATAACTGTACTGCAAGAAGTCCCAAACTGAGGTTGTGTTTCTTTTTTTGTAATTTATGTGTCCGAGTATGTATTAATATTGCAGAAATCTGTGACAAAATAAATTAATGTTGATGGCTTGTATCTACTGAGGGAATAATTAAAATCATGTTTTAAGTATGTTTTCTATTACTGCATGTCAAATCTGCTGGGTTGGCCATGTTAGACACTTAAGATCTTTTTATCTGCAAAACAGGTATTGCAGGCTTTGCCTCTTTAAGAGGTCTTAACAGTGTCTAAAAAGAGAGCTTTGACGGGTGTGACTCAAAAACAGGGACAACCTACTTTGAGGTGTCTGTTGCGGTTATGCAGCCTGCAGAGCTGGCATGGCCTGGAAGCAGTTCCTGACCCGTCATGGTTTCTGTTTTGGTAATCTGAAGTAAACCAGGCAGCTCTCAGGTTGTCCTGAAATACAAGGCTAGAGTTAACCTATACATGCAGGGGGTACAAGCCTGATTGGGACAATAAAATCAAGAAGCATCCATGTCGTTATGAGCTGAGACCTTAGTCTTCTGCGTATGTGCTGGTTTAGAAGGAGTTAAAAGTCATTGTATTCTAAGTCATCAATGACTACATACTCCATTAGTCTGCCAGCATGAGTCACACAAGCCAATCGTGATACCAGTTTTCTCATAGATATTTATCTGTGAGAGATACTTCAATGAGGGTGAGATCTAACACAGTGTAATAGTGCATATTAAAATAACAGCACTTAAACTGCATGTTGTTTGTGTGAATGCCAGATCATCCTTACAGGAGAAATATTTTGTGAAGGAAATAAGAGAGTGCTACTCTGTCACTCTGAAAGGTAATTTCTCTTGAAGGAAGGTTTGCAGTTTCAAGACTTTTTACATCTTCCTCAAGTGATACCTTCTGAGATTTTTGCTTCTAGGGAGTCTGTAGGTATTTTATAGATTTCATATGCTCAAAGAATATACTGTAAGCTATTCTGGATAGAATTTCTAATGCATGGTTAACTCTGACAAGGAGAGCTGGACTTGACAGTCCATCAGGATCATGATAGTTCCTTCCAGTCTTCTGTTCCTGAGTGCATTTGTGATGCAGATAGCTATCCAGTGACCTGGAATGGGACAGCCTATTCATTTCTGACAAACAGCCTTCAGATAGTAATGTGTTTTCATTACTAAAATGAGCAAAATAATGGCAGAGATACGAAAGGTTTGCTTCTTGTCACCAATTCCCTTGAACCATTTGATTGTGTATGCGTAAAAACATCATAATGTGTAGGTATGTTGATACACATGTGTACATGAGAATGCACAGAAAGCACTTAAGAGTCATATCAGAAGAAATGGAGCTATCTTTGTAAGCAGAGTATTGATTATTTATCTCAAAAGGTAGCTTCTCAAATACATAGAACTTGCAGCAGCCTTCCAATATCTGAAGGGAACCTATACAAGGATGCCAGAGAGGGACTCTTCATCAGGGATTGTAGCTGTAGGAAAAGGGGTAATGAGTTCATACTTAACAGGTTAGATATAAGGAAGAAGCTCTTTATTGTGAGGCTGGTGAGGCACTGGAACAGGCAGCCCAAAGAAGCGGTGAATGCTCCATTGCTGGCAGTGTTCAAGGCCAGGTTGGACAGAGACTTGGGCAACATGGTCTAGTGTGAGACGTCCCTGCCCATGGCAGGGGGGTTGGAACTGGATGATCTTAAGGTCCTTTCCAACCCTAACTATTATATGATTCCAAGGAATGGGAGTTTCTCTACCCACCATAATGCACAGATTTGCTTTTTGTGTGTTTTTTATATTTTATAAGTTTCTTTACAACTCACATGTGCAAAACTAATTTTAACATGTTGTCTGTATCTGGAAGCCAAGATGAAAAGAGAAGAAGAAATAAACTTTCTTTGTTAGAAACAAAACCCAGTAATTTCCTTATTTTTTTTTTCTCTAAATTGTGCAAGCAAATGTTTTTATTTCTACAAGTTTTGGTTTTTTTTCAGAATTATTTTATTTTAAAGTACTTTATTTAAAAAAAAAATACCCTTAAGATATTTTTAACACTGGTGTTATTCTCAAAGTTAGAGTTCACAGCTATGCTTGCATGCTTTTTGTAAACTAAAGTAAAAATCATTTGTACATACAAATTCACTCCAGTGTTTTGCACAAAACTGTGTGCTTGTGCTGACACATGAGCAAGACTTTTGTCTAAAACTCTGGAGGCTATTTTTGGGGCTGGTGGGAAAGTACAGAAATGACCAGTGATACTAGTGGACCTATTTCCTACAGCTGTTAATCACCTCTTCTAATACTGTGACTAATGACTGCCTCAGAGATTACAGATAACACATTGGAGTACTACTGTGGTTCTACTGTCATTACAACATGATTCTTCTTTTTTTTATATCTATTCTGAGTAAGAGCATCTGTGAGGATTCAGAGTACTGGTCTAAAGTATTTTCATATGTAAAACAATCCAGGCCATTCATAAGAATACACAAAGATACAGTAGTTGTAACATCAGAAAGGGATTAAACATGTAGAAGCATTAGCTTAATAAAGGAGTAAATAGTTAATAAAGGGGACAATCCTGCAATAGCATCCATATATATCAATTCTTCATATATTTTTTGCCGTTATATATTGCTTATCAGTAGCTCAAAGTACAGGAGCTCTGTCAGTGCTCTTGGGGTATTTTTACTGTTGCACTGTCAGGTCTCACATGAATACCTGCAGAGATGCTACACCTCAGGTTTTACTCTTCAAGGATGGCTTTCTGCAACTTGCTGATTTCTGAGAACAGGGCTTACACTCCCCAGTACCATTTCTGACTAAATTATTAAAATAGCTTGGAAACAACTTGTTGAAAATAGAGGACTATTAATTCATGCTCCAGCAGTACCAAACATAAAGGATAAAACTAAGAAAAATTAAAAGGTGTCTATGTTGCTGTCATTATCTGCTTAGCTTGGACAGACATGTTTTGCAGTTGGTATGAACAGCTTATGTAGCTTTTGGTCTCCCATGTCTGAGCTTGCTATTTCTTTCATTAAAACGAGAGGCAACGTTTCTTAGTTTTTTCCTCTTTCAGACCACAGCCCTTTTAGAGTAGTTTTAAAGCTTCAGGTTTCTTTTGCTAATGAGGTTGGCCCTTGGTTGAGTGCCTCGTAAGCTGGAAGGAGTCATTCATTTTTATCCTTACTTAGAAGGTTTGTATCAAAAAATTACTTAGTCATCTGGCTGTTTTACCTTTCTCTATGCCTCAGAATATTAAGATATGTCTTCCTATTGCAACTGTAACTTGGGGCAGCAATGCAAAATAGAATGGGGGGGGAGGGGGGGAAGAACCACATATTGAATACAGAGAAGGTGATACAGAAGGTACTCTTCCATTTAGTCAGATGTCAGCTTAAGCTGCCATCCGACAATGAAGATCCTATCATAAATTTCCATCTGGGCCCTTTTTTGTCTTCATTACCTGGTTCACTCTTTATTGGAGACCAACTTGTGCTGGTTCAGAAGCCTGGGGTGCAGTGGACCAGCCATGTGCCCCACTGCAGCAGTGCTGGCTGGCATCCATGACTCTTCTGTCAGAGCAAATCAACAAAAGCGTGCTCCTGTTCTTGATGTGAAGAGACTTCATTATGCCTGATGGAAATGAGGAAGCTCTGAGACTGCCATGATTCCAAGCAGATTCTCTTGTCCTGAGGATTGATCCTGGAATTCTGTTCACCGCAGGTGTCACTTACTTATGAATTCTCAGTGTCAAGTCTAATTAGTGAAGATACATTTGGTATAGAAATCTAAACTTTGTATATGGAGTTAGCACCCATGAATAGTATATAACCAGTTTGTTCAAGTTGCTAGTAATATGAGGCAGCATCTATGCAGCTTGCATTGTATAAAATATCAGCATATGTTTAAATGTCTGTGAGATTGCTGCTTCAGAGACCTATTTTAGGGTTTTTATTTTTTCTGCTTTTGCTTTTCTGCTTCAAGATACACTGTTTTTACATGAAGAGCTACACTGGGCTGTTCTGTGGATTCCTGATAGGTTTTTTTCAGCTTGGACTTTCTCACAGGAGCTGTGAGACGCTTAGGAGAGAGTATTTGCATCAGGTAAGGAGCGCGTCTTCAGAACTGTAATAAACAGCTTTTGCGGTACTTGCTGTGTTTCCAACGCATAAACTTCAAGAGCATTTGGCCCAATAAATCTGTGATCCACATAGGGAGACAGATGGAAAACATTACAGTGACTGTTTATGGCATTAAAGAAAATAACCCAGAACTATTTAAAAAAATTACATCTGCAGCTTACCTTTTTTTGCATGCCTTTCAGAACATGAAAGATATCAGTTGTTCAGCAAACAGATTCTGATACATGCTGTGCTCTTTTTAATAGCCTTTCTCATTGCACATTGCATGTGACATTTATATTCTAGAACTATTTCAGTGGCATTGTGTGGATTAATAATTACTTAGATTGAGTGAGATGAAGCTGTTTTAAGTAATTAACTTGAACAGGTTTCTTCTTAGCTATCAAAGACCCACACTTAGTCTTTATGATGTGCAGAATCTACCTTTCACTTCAGTGTGGGAAATTAGATGGGAGAAAACAGCAGCTCCTGGTCCAGCTCAGGGTACATGCTTTTACTGCCGATATCTGAATGTTAAGAAGGCCGTCACTCTGCATTAAAGAAATGGTCATGTGTTGTGGCCCATGCGTTTCCCTTTGTCTTCTCTTCCTTAACTCTGACATCAGGATAGTATGAATGAAATTGTTAAATCTCAGTCTTAAATATGTGCGTGCCTAGGCTGGCTAGTTTTTAGGAAGTCTTTTATAACTCCTATGTTAACTCCTATTTTTCCTTTTTTCCTCACAGAAATACTCTCCTTGATTCCTGCACCCCACGTTCAGACCTTCTGCTGAGATCAACAAAACCAGAAATGATAAAATTTTTTCTTATGGTAAACAAACAAGGTCAAACAAGACTTTCTAGGTATTATGAGCATGTAGAAATTAAGAAACGGACAATGCTGGAAGCTGAAGTAATCAAAAACTGTCTTTCCCGTTCAAAGGATCAGGTGTGTTTTGTAGTTCTTCCCCTAGCTGTTCTATTTATTAGCTAGGTTGGAAAAGACCTTTAAGATAATCAGGTCCACCCATTGCTCCAGGACTGCCAAGTCCACCACTAGACGAGGTCACTAAGAGCTTCCTCTGCATGGTTCTACATCTCACATTTTTCATGTCAATAATTCTGAAAATACATCAGTTTCCTTTCCAAGTCATTATTTCATTTGTACCCATGAAGAAAAAGATTGTATTTCTACATTATGGTTTCAGTCCGTTGAACTGTTATTCTGCGTTGAATAAATATGTTTTCCTGAGGCTTACAGAGATTTTGGAATTTTGTGTATCACTGCATGAAAGTTCCTCCTTTTTGTTTGAAGAAGCTCAGAAATCCAGTAAGAATTTATTTTATCCTTTTACTGCTTGTCTGGTAGAGATCAATAGAGAGCTATTGCTGCTGCTTTGCTGGAGGGTAGTAAGGATACTACTGACAGCTCCAAGTTTAAACAAAAAATTTATGAGTGAGGATGAAAATACTATCTGAAGCACAGGGGGGTTTGGAAACACAAAATTTTAGGCCTGTATTAGGCATTTTTATTCAAAAGAAGTGTTCACAATTTCTGAAAAAAAAAGAAAGAAAACCCAGAAGTTGGAAGATTTCTTAGATGAAAGTTGAGATTTTCATGGCTCGGTTGAGCCATCAGCTCTTTTAGAAAAGTACCAAACTTCACGAACTGTTAATGGCACAACACATTGACTTGCATTGGAGGAGAAATCTGTAACTTGGATTGTGAGTGAAGATTTTGGGTTTGTGTTCTGAAGGCAGCTTCCTTACTTTTCATTAATGACATGTCTTTGAACAGTGTGAACCTCATTCTAGAAAGCCTGAGGAAAAAGTAGCAGTTCCTATGAAATACCTTAGTTCACAGACTTAACAGTGGCTAAAGAAATGAACCTCTTCTGCACTGCTCTTGCAAGGGCATCTCCAAACTGAAATTTCACCAAAGGAACTAACGGCACGCTGTCATTTCAAGGACTGAGCAGAATGATACTGAAAAAATACAGGCGGAGGCATCTTGTAAAGCAGCGTTTAACAGCACCATCTGCTGGCCTCTCTCCCACTGTAAAAGACATGTTAATTTCCCTCCTTGGGTCTGGAAGTCTTCATGCTCCTAATATTTATATAAAAATATTGATCATTTTTTAAACATGAAAATGACCTTCAGGTTGTCCCTTTTGGAAGTTCTTCCAAATGAAAGTTTAGGGGAAGGATCAACAGCCTTATAACCCCAAAACAAGTCATTTCAACTCTGTTCCAGTTTTTCCATTTAAAATACAGTAGCACGTTTTCTGTCAACAGATGAAATGTTTTGTGTAATAGATGCCCTAAGAAATTTCTTTCAAGTCAAAATTCCATGGTGGATCTTGAGAAATCCGTTGTTCTTTGTGGGCCTTATGAACATGAAAGCATAGGCTCTTTGAGCACTCTGTGCTTAATACTGTTGTATACTTAAGTAGCAGCTATTATATTTTACTTGTTTTGTTTCTGCCTAGTGCTCTTTCATTGAGTATAAGGACTTCAAGCTGGTATACCGACAGTATGCAGCCCTTTTTGTAGTTGTTGGAATCGACCACACAGAGGTAAGAAATTACATACCCTCTGGAAATGAGAGCTTACAGTGATTGTTATGGTCAAGAGCTCAAGTCTGCTTCTAGTATGGAATTTTGCAATAGGAATTAGAGAATTTTAAGGAGTCATTGCAAAAATAATAAAAAATCTATGAAAAAAAGGAGGTATAAAAAAATGTGGTATGTTGGACTTCAGTCTGTAGCAGCAGACTGAACTGTTATCATGAGACAGTCTTTCTGAGCCTTGTGCTGATGCTGCTTTCTGAATTTGATTAAATGTAAAATTATGTGGGGTAGTGTTTCTCAACATATGTTACCATTACAGCCAGATCACCTGTCTTATTTATGGTGATTTCCCAACTGCTCACTGTTTTAACCTCCTTGGCCAAAGAAAATCCATGCTGTCAGCTAGAAAGCTGCCAATTTACTGTATTTAAAAAATGAAAAAAAAAAAGGTATCTGAAAAATTACAAGTGCTGTTATTTCATACGTTCAGGCTGAGCCTGCAAGGCTTTAGTGTTTACATTGATTCCTGGTAATCAGAAATTAATTCAAAGCTTACTATTGAAGACCTTATCAGGGTGGTGTGGAAGGTAGCTGCTGACTACCACAGTGTCTTCAAGTCAGAGTTTTAATGCTGTGCAATGGGGGGCAAATTCTTTTGGCTTTGCTACAAAGATGGCCACATCTACTACTGCAGCATACCCTGGCTCTGTGCTGCAGCTGGCCAGTGTGACCTCTGCTGCGTAACCACATGGTTACTTTATCTTCATCCCATGGTGGCCTGAGCTTGTGTGCTTTATTTTAGTAGGCTTTACTATATTTTCTAGTTGCTTTTCATGCAGCACTAACTGAAATAGCACAAAGAATATGGTTACCTTTTCTAGCTATTTATTTGCTCTTCACTTGTTTTTAATTTAATTTCAGAATGAGATGGCAGTATATGAACTAATTCATAATTTTGTGGAAGTTCTGGACAAATACTTCAGCAGAGTGGTGAGTTGAATTATTACAAAACAGTTCTTCTCTTTCAAAGCTGATCTAGTATGAGTTATACCTGCTTATGGTAAGGGGTTGGAACTAGATGATCTTTGAAGTCCCTTCCAACCCAAACCATTCTATGAATATGTAATTTCAGGGAATAAATTGAAAGAGAATTTATATTTTTTTCCATATACATTTAGAAGTTTGAATACTTCAGCATGAGCATTTCTTCCAAAAAGAAAAACCCAAAAACCAAAACACACGCACACACAAAAGCAGTATTAGTTGATTCTTCAGAAAAGTACAGATGGGTTATAAAGCATCAATCAAAGAATATCAGAAATATATCTGTTAGAAAAGCATGCTCTTATATATTTATATTCAGGGGTTTCTTTGGCTCACCTACTCTTAAATTAGCCACTGGCATTATGTACATTTTAAAGAAATAAAGAGGTTTTTATTTACAGCTCTTTTTTTTGCAATTCAGAGCATTATATTCCCTGAATGGATTTCATTTATGATAAAGATGGTGTAGACATTAAGCAGGGAGCTGACATCACTCTCAGTGAACAAGATCAGAGGGATGGAGCACATAAAACCTCAGAAACGAGTCTGTACTTGTGCTCTCCATGTTGTTGTCATGCAACAGTGGATACCAGATAAAACAGCTATTATATAGGTAGTCATTTCAGTGAGGATTCAACATCAGGCATGGCTCCAGTTAAAATGACAGTGCTCCTTTGGGTGGGAGATACTTTTTGTTTGCTTGTCTTTACAAAGGTTGAAAACACAGCATTATGATCCTGCTACCCAATATGGGATTTGTAATAATTTTGCTAGAAACAGATTTGCCCCAAGTCACAGTTTGGCACAATTTTAGTGCAATTGCAGCACAAAATCTATGCTGGAATATGTTGGATACCCCCCTCATGGTCTGTAACTGGTTTTCCAGTCCTAGTATTGCAGCGGATGTGCAGAGCCCCCTCTAAGGAATTCAGGGACACACTTGAAAAAGTCATCTGCACCTTTCACTGTTTAGATGCCTGGCAAGTGTTTTAGGCTGTTATCTATCTCTACTAATGTCACACCAGCCTGTTGAAACTGATGGTACTAACTATATCACTTTCTGACTGTACTAAGTTCAGAATTTACCTCTTAATTGTTTTGATGGCAGTCCCAACCTCACCAGTGATAACCAGGAATGGAATTTGATTCCTGACAGCACAGGGAAGAACAATAAAGTTTAGTCACATCTTGTTTATCTAATTGAGCCAATTGTTGCCAACCATTTGACAAGTTTTATTTTCCTCACTTGGGGCAGAGCAAAAAAATAGATGTATTTCTTATACATATAAATGTAGTGCATATAACTCCTTGATCGCATATATAACCCAACCACTGCTTAGAAATTTGCTGAATTCATCACACCAGAGCTTTTTGTACTGTCCATCTCATTTCAGGTTTGAAACTAGGGGAACTGAAAAGGGGGGTGGTTAAAGAAATCTCATGTCATTCTGTGGTTCTATTTTTGATAGCATATAACATGATAAATGTCAGAGCACTGAAGAAGAGGGCTATAATTCTAGCTGGTGTTTCTGGCAGAAACCACAGAGCAGGAAAGTATAAGTCTGTAGTCTCATGGATTAATGTTTAAGATTTGCAGAATTTTAGCAGAATCCCAAATTATGATGATGACAGAGACAGAACTCTGGGAAAGGAAAGGACATCTGTCCTGCTCTAGAAGGACATTTTGTCATCTATTATTTTTAGGCTTGTGAGCCTTAAACGTTCTCACATACTCTATTTTTATCTAATGGAGTTTACAGAGCTTGAATTCAGATATCAGAAGAAACATTAACAGAATTAGGGGGAAAGCTTTCAAAGTTGCCTGTGAAATGGAATTCTGAGTCCTCTTCACTTTTATTACGGCTACCCAGGGAAAACTCTGCGTGCTGTTCAGAATACATATTCCAATGTTTTCAATTACTTCTAAAAGCTGAGTTAAACTTAAACTGATCAGGCTCTTAAAATACAGTTTTTGTGACACATGAAAGATTTCCAGTTGAAGAACGGCAGAGTCGCTCAGCAGAGGCCTGTAGACTACAACTAGTCCAGTTCAAAGCATCTTTAGACCATAGAAGTAGTAGCAATTTTACCAGTGGGAACTTGGCCTAAAACCAGGGTTAGACTGTGAACTGAAACCATGTTAGCAAACTAAATTCCCCTGGTAGCAGATAGATTCCCTCTTTCAGCAGGCACTGAGGCAGCTCCACCCCAACTGTGCAAGATCTTAACTGCTGAGGCTGTGATTAATTGTTTCTAAATTTAGACATTTAACTGAGGCACTTAAGTTAGAAGTTTGGTCATCCTAAACTCCCATGACCACTAGGCAGGGGACGGATGAGTATCTCGAGAAAGTGAGTCATGCCTCAAGAGTGCCGAGTCAACTCTTGAAGATAACCATCTCTTGTGTTGACTGCAGGGAGACCACAAGGGCTTCTCACTCAGACATTTTGGTTAAAGGAATAAAAATACTTGGGGTAAATCCAGGCCAAGACTAGAAGGGAAATGGTGACTACGTGAACAATTATATTGCTGGCACTGGAGAGCAGTTAGAAGTACTAAGGGTCCAAAGCCTGGAGTTGCCTTTCCTCTCCAGTATATCCAGCCACAACTACTACAGCCATATGTATATATACAATGTCTAGATTTTACTGTTGAAATGATCTGCAGCAACATTTTAAGCTGTGTTTTTATATAAATTGCAAACTTGGCATTAACATCCCCTTTTTGCAGAAAGAAGAGAAAATAGAGGTCTGGAGTTAGCACGATTTGCATTGCTGGTTTTCCATCACTTACTCAGATGGCACTGTGTCTATTCAAATTGTTACTTGTGGGTGACCTTCATGTTTTTTCTAAGTAAAAATTTCAGAACATTAGCTTTCGTTACAGAGGCAGGTAATGCATCAAAGGCAAAGCAGTGTTGCAGGAAAAGGCATGTAATTTTACAGTCCAGAACAGAAATCTGAATTACCCTAAAGTTTTGTGTCATTAGCAGATAGACTTCAAAATAAAGGGATGAATAATGCTTAATGCCTATGAGATGAGAGATCAAGCTGTAACTAATGGTTGTCTCACTCTTTTACTTGCAGAGTGAATTAGATGTATCCTTTTCAACATCAGAAATCCATTTGTCTGTTTCTGGGGTATGTTCCAGTTCATAGCACTGGCTGTCATAGTGGCTGTCATACAGGCAAGACAATGCAGAGGTTTTTCAAATTTTGCACTTACAGTAAGTGGCACCATTTTGGCACCTTTCTGAAAGCATGGCTGATGTTTGTGCGGGTTTCTTGTTCAAATCCTAACTCATTGAGATAAGCCTGGTACCATTTAAAGTAAGACAGGGAGAGTTTGTTTAGAGAGAACTAGGTACTACCTAGACATGAGAGATAGTGTTCTGGGGGAACTTTCAGGCTTACTTAATTATTACTGCAAGGTTTTACTTTTTGCTTTAAGTTTACAGTAAAATAGATGCTGAAATGACTGCCATAACAAGAACTGAATGTTACAGGTATGTCTTGAGCCAACTAGCAGTAGCATCATTGTAAGATTAGGTTTGTGCTTTGATCTTGCTTCATGAAAGTGTAGGTGAGATTTACTTTCTGTATGGATGGAAAAAGGGAAAGACCTGAGAGGAGGAAATTTAGGAACCCAGGCATTGCCACAGATACCTTTTACCTTTACCACCCTTCTCCCTCCGCAGCTGTATTTTCATGTGTATGATTTGTAGGGTATTAACTAATATATAGATATATATATATTTTAAATGAACTACAACCAAATACAAATCCTAAAACACAGTCCCGAACAGCTAAACACAAATAGCAAGTAAATAACATACAATACTAAATTCAAAGAAAATTAAACCTGGAGAATATAGCACAGTCTTCCAGTCCCACTGCCTGCTCACTCTACTCCAGCAATCCTTATGCCTCTGTTTGTTGTTGGCTAAATGCAGATCTACTGGTACAAAGAGTTTCAGTTACGCACCTGAAATACAGTTGCCACCCTGGAATCATGTAAATTACACACCTGAAATACTCTAAAGTAATTTAGAATTAGTACATACAAAGAACATAAAAAAACCTGTAAGTTTTTTGTAATTGTTTTACTCCTTTACTAAAAAAAAATATGTAATTTCATTTTTTGTAAAATTTTTAATGCTTGCTATATGCTGGAACTGTTTCATTTACTGAGCTTATATAGGTATGTGTGTATATACTGTATGTATGTGTATGTATACTGTCTCTATTTATTTCCTTCTTGAAATTCACAAAATACTGTGGTATTAATATAACACTCCTAAATTAATTTGTATTAGAATAGAGCAATAAGGAAATTTCAGGATGGAGGGACTGTTAAGGTCTCTGAGCAATTCTGTAACTACATTTTTGTATTCAGTTACTCTAGTTAAGGATTAGAACCATTTGTACTTGTGTGTGAGCTTTGCTGAATTAGAAACTAACGTGATGACCTGTTCAGTAATTATACATAAAAAGTAGTCCCCTGTGTTACCATATGGTATATTTTGGGTCTGCAATTGCCCGATTCTTTTTCCTTTAGATTGTTTGGAGTAGTGACGATACCAAATTCTGCCTCTGGTCATCATTTTCACACTGAGAGGAATTGCCTGTAGGTGTATACTAGGTTACCACCAGTAGACCATTTAATAGCTGAGAAAGGACACTGTATATCCAAGAGCTTCTGCACACAGTGTTATTCTGCACTGTTTAGAGAAGTTGTATTATATACAACTTGTTGCAGTGGGTGCAATATGGTGTCTGAATGATTCCTGTAGAGGTTCATCTTCTACACGGATCTCATCTGCATGAGAGTGTGAATATAAATATTTGGAAAACAGGAGTGCGCATTACTATCTTATTTGATAAAACTGGAGATAATACTGGAAGAGCTCATGTCTGATGCATCCGTCTGACATGTATGATGTGAATGATGCATGTATTTTTTCCACTTAGAAATGCATCTTTCTACATTATACATTTCAGGAACAATTTTCAAGTTAAACATTTTGCTTTACATACGTACAGAAAATCTCTTTCATTTAGGAAGAAGAGCTTTTCATAAGCTGAGAGGAGCTCAGCTTACTTACTAACCTGAAATAGCTGAAGTGAGGTGCTCAGAACATTAAATCTAAAACGGAGTTGTAAAGATGAGGTGGGTTGTCCAAGATTGTATTTATTTTTTATACAGCTTGAACAGCAGCCCCTGAAGAACAATGTAAGATCTGGGCTACAAGTGTCTTAGATGTTAATGCAGTGCAAGCAATAATCCATCAATATGCCTTTCATAGTGTGTAAGATAATATCCCCATCTGGGATTAAACCATTTCCTTTGCCAAATAGTCTTTTGATAACTCTTATATTCAGTACAGAGAGTTTAGATGTAAAATATCTGATGGAGGAAGTACTGTCTAAAGGTTTGTAGCAGTTAACATCAAGTGTATTTACAGAACCTTTGTATACACAGTATCTATCTGGTGGGAGACTGTCACCATTTCCTGTCTCTGCACTATTACTTTTGTGTACAGATCCATAGGAAGTTTATTTCAAAAGTAATAGTGGGTATTCTCTATAGAAAGTAGCGTTTACTAACCTGAAAAAAATAGTAGGAAATTACATGAAATCAAACCGATGAAAACCACATGATAATCATTAAAGGCTATTCACCCATGCACAGGGCAAACCCCAGTTAAATCGGAGGCTGAGACCATCACACAATCACCCCCGTGCTTTTGGCAATGCAGCCCCTCCTATTAATGTGGGATGCCAGCTCTCATTTAGATCGAAAAACCGAGGTCACCCAGGATGCTGCATCATGTCTTGTGTCATAGCCTGAATCTGAAGTCAGCTGTCAGGAAGGGAAGGGCACCTTCTGCACAAGGCAGAGAGTAGGTCCCATCTGAATCCTGCCCAGCAGGATTCATGTGTAATATTTATACTTACGGGTGACACAGGTGTGTGTGTGATACTAACCAGTGCATGGACAATTGGGAACTTACCTCTTCTGATTAGCTACTAGCCAATTAAGTAACTACTTTAACTCCAGAGTAGGCATGGGGTTTAGAGAAGCTTTTATGTGTGACCTGTAAGGCATTTAGCCATTAAATGATGTCCACTTTCATTCACATACTTAAGGGTAGCTGTGACAGAACAACATAACATTTCTAAAATTGTTTGGTTTGTTTTTAAAATACCTGTAGGTAGTGCTGTGGGACGCAGTACTTGAATGGGCAAGTACTGAAACCCCAGTCCTGAGGGTGTTGTTTCCTAATGTGTTAACAGCACTAGATGTGTATGACATGAGTGGGTGGGATTTTCTGCAGCTCTTAACGCTCCAGCTTGCATAGGCCTACTTTCTTGGTGCGATGATAACAATGAGATTGTAAAAATGCCATAGCTCTGAGAGCTTCTAAAGAGTTTCTAAGGCACAGAAAGTTGATTTTTCTATTGCTTGAACTGGTGAAGCAAAACTTACTTGAAGACACATTGTTAACTTACAGAAGAAACAGATACTTACGTTCCCCTTGTGGGCGGGAAGGGGGCAGACAGGGTTCTCTAGGACCAGGCATTTGAAGAATGTTGTCTTGATCCAAAACCCACATTGCATTCCATTGCAGCTAGCTGCTGCTCATAAGACAGATAAAAAGCTTTGATACAGGGAATGCTGCATGTTAATCAACTGTGTTCTTCTGTCACTCTCAGAACCCAGTGCATTTAAGTAGTAAGAAAACGGAATTAATTCGTTCTGAGAATTTGTGAGGATACGCTTCAATCTGTACTGTAAAATAAGTGGATGCAATGCAAACCTATAAGGATTAGCTTAAAACTGTTCTAAAGTATCACAGAACTTGAAGGCACCAGTTGTCTCCTTTATAAAGTCAGCATAGCTGTTCTGGGAAGAAATGGTCAGAAAGCATCAAATGGGTTTCAGTGCCTAAAATTGGCCTGCCATTAGACAGGCTAAAAGGTAATTGAAGTGAATGTTAGCAAAGATAAAGTCAGAATGTGTGACTTTAGATTAAGAGAAGCAGCTCTAATCTTCGGTTGAAGATGATAGTCTAGAATGGAAATCAAAGTTTTGTAATGCTGTGTATTCAGTAGCAAAGTACCTGTGCTGTAATCTACAGAGCTTTTGTTTGGGCTCCTGGGTGTGTTAGCTATCACAAGGTGTTGGCCACACTTTATCATCTCTTATGCCTTGACACACCCTTAATTACTTGCCTGGAAAATCCTGAGGTATCTTAAGATGTCTCCACATGAGGAAGGTATTTATCACATGCAAGTCCTGAAAGTGCCTTTTTCCTTTCCTTCCCTCCTTCCCCGCTTAACTATCACCTATATAACACTTACCTCCTCTTAGTATGTACGTGCCATAAAAACTCCGTGATAGTAGAAAGTATTGTTGATGTCTTTTAATAAGGGAAACTCTTAAGTTACCAAAAGCCAGCAGAAAATACCAATTGTAGCAGGTGCCATTTACTTCTACCATGAGGTACACAGCCACAGTGGCACAGAGTGAAATCTGTAAACCAAAGGCAGCAGGGGCTCACCTTTGCCTGGGCTGCCAACTTGTGAAGAGCATTTCCTAGCTGGGTGCTCTGAAAACTTTCATTACAGAATTTTCTCTGCAGATGAAGAGATACATGTGTTCTTATGCATACTTGTTTTAAAATCCATGTTAGCCTCTGCATAGATCTAGTGAAAACCCCTCAACCCTCTTCTACGGGCAGCCAGGATTCTTACTGGAAGCAGGACCTTGAATGACAGCTCTGGGTGGAGCACATGGCAGCACACACATAGAACACAGCTTTTTCCTGTTGCCAGTTGCTCAGACTGGTTTGCTTTGCTGCTTTTCAGCTCAGCTGGGTGTGGATCCGTGACTTCAAGGCTTTAAACCCTGAAATCTGGGGTCAGTTGCCAAACAAGTGGGGGGGATGCAAAGGATCAGAGATGCACTGGGAAGGGCATTCAGATGTAAACAATGAAGCAGTGTATGTATAAAGACCATAGAACATAGTCATGAGACCTGCAGGAAGGGTGGAAAAGCCAAGGTGTTCCTTGTAAAATCCAGGTGTTTGCCAAGCATGGTAGAGGGAGGTGGGAGGGGAAATGAAAGAAGGAGCTTTGGGACCTTCCAAAAATCAAGATGGTAGATGTCTCTAGAATAGTGTTAGTATCCCCATTCAAACTGCAGGTGAAGTCAGTGGTTCTGGAATGACGACTGTACGCTTAAGGGGTTACAGATGGACAGAAGTCATACACAGCACTATGTCCTGTAATGGGGTAAGCCACTCTTGAAATAAGCAGGAAGGCCCTTGCAGGGGAACTGATGTCTCATTTAACCATGCTGGGTTTGAGCAGAACAGCTGCAAGGTACTCAGTAGTGTGAGTGCAGTTTTCCTTTGACATGGTATCAGGTCTTTAGGGAAAAAAAAGGGAAAAAAGCAGTGCTAAGTGTGTTTTCTTAAACAAGGTGATGCAGAGAAATTGATGGGAGTGGGAAGTTACTGCATCATCACTGATTCACTCTTACAGGTTTTAGATCTTTGGGACTCTGAAAGGAGAGGTAGGAGCTCTTGCTCTGCCATGGGAACTGGAGCACAGTGAATCAGTGGTAGAGTGTAAAAACTGAAATCCAGGAGGAGCTGGCTTTATCACTTGTTGCAACGTGAATGGAATGTTACCTACCTTCACTAACAGATCCTCTTGCTCTGTGCCAGAAGTGAAGTAAGCAGCACCAGCAAGGCAGTTTTCCTAAAAATTCTCACAGTACTGGAATAAAGAAATTCTAACTTCTTAGATGAAAATATTTGTGTAAAGGTCGATTTACTTGAAAAGTATGGTACAGGAAGAAATTTGTCTGAGGTCTTTAGTCTGCCAAGCAAAGTAAAACTACCACCTTTGTCTCTGGAACCACAGGAACTATTGAAGTTTTAAGGGCAGTACTGCTCCTCAGTAGTGAAAGGCACGGAGATGCTCAGTGTTACTTCACTAGAATCTATTTCTTGAATTCAGGCCTAAGACTCTGCTTTCATGAGCTCATGTTGTTGCAGCTCTAGTGGTTTAAGGTGGTGTCTCCCCACCATTTGAATTTACCACATAGGAAGAACAAATACATAGAAATATGTGGCTCCTCAGCTGTTGTCAGGTACAGCTCAGTACTGCCACTGCTCCTGTGGTTTGGCAGAGCATAGGGCAGACTGCTGTGGTGAAATCCACAGACCTTGTGGGATAGAGCGGTCCTCTTCCATGCCCAAATCGCCTTCAGAAAATGAGATTGACTCTCCATCATGCCGAACAGAAGAAAACATTGATGCCTTTAAAAACTTGGTGCTGATGCTTTTAAAACCAACTCTGCTGGTTAGAATGAAGTCTACTAACACAAATATAAGGACCAGAGCAAAACCAGGCTGCCTTCCCGAGCTCAAAACATATCATAAGAAAAACAGAATAATAGTCAGAGAAGGCCCTCAAGAGATTCCTATCAAAGTTGGAAAAAAGTACTGAAAGTTACTGCAAAGCATTGTGCTAACTCCACTGCAGTAGTCCTCAATACACAGGCAAGAACTAGAAGGAGCAAAATTAAGGCAAAGCTGACGTGCTGAGCACAGCAAAGAACACACTTAAAGAGCAGCAGCAGGTGGAGAGCAAGGCAGAGGAAGGGTTATTCATGCCTCTGTACGCACACACGTCAGTGAGGCACAGCAGATGTACGCTGCAGGCTTTTTTTACTATGCCTGTTTCCACTGCAGCTTCTGGTGGTAAGTGGCAACACGAGAGGCCTTTTTCACGAGTAACCCTTTGCAGTTATCAGTGGATACACTAACGATGAATGTATGCATAAGGACACCTGCCAGGTAATGCTGGAGCCTGTTGTCTGGCTTGGTTTTCTTCAAGACAGATGCTATTAGATAAAGACACATGATTATGGACAAATTTAATGTATCACAACAGCACAAATTCATCATTTCAAGTTATTTTCCTTTAGGAGTATATTAGAGATTATCATTTGGAAAGCATTTAAAATAGGGATCATTCATTTACTTTAACTGCTCTGAGATTTATTACTAGATCAATGACTCAGCTTTACTTATCAGCATATTCCTCTTAAGCTATTTTCAAGCAGATCCAATAGTCTTAGGAACTTAGGGTAGGGAAAAAAAAAAAAAAAAAAAAAAAAAAAATCAGAGAATCAAGTTTTAAGAATTTGGCTGACAGTTGGTTTTGTAAGGGGAAATGCAGAATATGGGCATCTTCCCATTCGAGGTTGTTAATCTTTGGGAAAATTTTTATATTAAAACAACATGTGGCAGACAGTAAAATTAACCATCTACATCTAAGTTCAAGTTCACCTTGCTTTTACTACTGTGTGGTAATCTTCCAGGCTGGGATACTGCTAGGGCTTCAGCTTCTCTACTACAAACTTTTGACACCCCTGTGGTCAGGAAAAAAGTGTCAGTTCATCTGTTTCCTTCACTCTATTAAAATAAACAACCAAATAAACTAGAATAAATTAAGAAACACCCATTTTTGCAAACTTTGAGTAAAGACAAAGGTGCCGAAGATTTTCTTCGTGTTATCTTCATGTTGTTCAAAATATACTTAACCTGAAACATTTCTAGATCATGTTCAATTTGGACAGAGTGCACATCATTTTGGATGAAATGGTGCTAAATGGTTGCGTTGTGGAAACAAACAGGAACAGAATTCTGGCCCCTCTGCTGGTGCTTGACAGAGTGGCAGAAAGCTAGGAAGATGCAAGACTGACTAAAGCATTCTGCTAAGGATGATGAAGCCATCAAGAGCTGACAGCAGCGTTCTGATGCCATTAAGGCTGACTCATGCAATATTCAAATTAGTTGGAAAATATTTCCTGTTTCTCCTATGCCCAGTGTACCTAATGGAAAGACACAGCTATACATAAAGTGGAACCTTCCATTTCAGATGCAGCTTTCTTGACCCAGCAGAAGTCTTCCTGCAACAGTCAACGCTTTTTCAAACTGAGAATAAAGTAGTGGCAACTTGCATGTCTACGTGTCACTGAATTAGGCATTGTGCCAGGCCTAAGACAAGACAGAAAATATGAAAATATAAATTCAAAGTTTCAGTGCTTCCTTTAAGAACCAACTCCATTTATTTTTATACAAATGTACTGTAAATTATAGTTCCATAACTTTTAGGACCACTTTTTTGAATTAGATCAATCCTTCATCAAAAAGCTACTTTCAGTCCCATTTCATTGTAAGTCATAGCTACAAAAGAAATGTAAATACAGAGGTCTGTGTGCATTTAGTATTCCTGTATAAGTTGTAACTTGGCAATTAAATATGGTAACATTAATAAAAGGTAATTACAATCAAAAGTTCAAACTTCTATCATGTTGGCTTCATAAAGTACACAAAACCTTTTCTATTTTGGCCACCGGTGTATTTTTTCTCTTATATATTCTATCCATGCATCACAATTAAAACTTTTACAAAAGATGAGTAAAAAAAGGTACTGCTAGGTACCAAATCAAATTTGCCTTCAGCAGGAGGATGTAGCTACACTAACTTGTACTCGCAGGTACAACACGCCACTTCACACAAGTCACGCAACCTGAGATTACTTTTCATTACTTTTCTAGAATTAAAGTATCTGGCTCCTCCTTCATGACCAACACTTAGGCACCAACCCTAGGCATAACCTGACACTGAAAGAGCGTATGATACACACTGTGAGCTTTGTGTGTGAAGGCACATAATGGTCACATCTAAATTGCACCTAGAAACCTGGCTCAAAGGAGCAGAGTGGTGGGTTGTGTGGGGAACCATCCACATCACTTTAAAAGAACCATTCCCCAAAACAAGCTGGCATTGGAGTAGATAACTTGTACACAAGGTTTATGCAGCCGTTCTGTTGAAGCACAATAGTCACAGGAGTGTAAGGGTGGAGACTGCCCTTCAGTTTTGCATTGTGGAAAATTCCAAAGACTGTTTCTGTCAAGTCCTGGGAATGATGCTATGACAAGCAATCTGGCTTCAGCCTGGTTTGTACACATGAGGCAAGACTCACGGCAAGCCCTCCCTGAGCAGCGGTCCAAGAAAAGATTGTTACCAAAGAGAACTGCCACAGAACAAAACTTGCCACACAGGCTCAACCAAACCAACAGATTTTCTTTCCTGGTGTATAAGCACTTACATATCTTCAAAGATATGTTAGGATCTTGCTTCATTTTACTGTAAACCAACTTTTTACCACTAAATACCTACCATGTGCTGAAAACAAGGCAGGGCAGGCACTCCATCTCAAGTGTGGCTGCATCAGCTGTATCACCTGACCCCATTTTTATTCCAATGCAATGGAGAACTTCAACCTCAGGACACAGTGGCCTACTAAAGAGCTCCAAGAGAGCTACACACACGTTCTCACTGCCACCCCAGTTCCTAAAAAAGTTGGACTGTGTAAAACATCATCCCTGTGTAAAAAGAGATGAGTCGATGAGATCAGTTACTGCCATGTAGGTCACTTAAACCTTGTAAAATGTATGGCATGTTGTTCAGAATGTTTACAGCGATTTAATAACACAAGTAGTACTAGTGAAGTACTCAGAGGAGACAGTTTTATATGTTGCAAACATTTTAATGATTACTTTTGAGCTTACACATTGGGTGGGTTTTTCTTAAACTTCAAACTGCAACAAGTTAAATAAATGTTTATAATATACAAAGAAAATACAACCAAAAGTAAAACTTGCTTTAAGTGTGTCTTGCACTAGGAACCAGTGTTTCTTAATAGCTTTAATGTTGAGCTGCACAAACACACTTAAGGATTTGATCTTTGTAGCAGGGCCTTTGAGAAATCAAAATATATTCCCACTTAAAAGAAAAAAAAAAAAGTTGTGCATTATATGCAAAAAACCCACTAAAATACTCCAATAGTGCAGGCACATTAAAAAAGGAAAGGCTGGAGATGCCCATTAATTCTAAGTTTTAAGGAAGCAAGTTTCTGACCAGTTAGCTTAAAGCCAGCAAAACAGGGATCAGTGATGGCAACTGTAGTGTACAAGATATTAAATGACAAACTTTACACAAATACACTGTTAGAAATTTGTATCAGGGAACACTGAAAATCTGATGATCTGTTCTTTGGAACAGTCAAACAGAACCACCTCAATTTCCAGTTGTGCAAGCCCTTAAAGCATCACACAGTGTTCTGTGCCAATTTCTTGCTGGCTGTGTAGTTACAAGGATTTATTTTGTCATTAGCAGCTAACAAACTTATTCCACATGTTTCTAAAGCCTCACAGGTGAAAAAAAAGGCAAGTCTCATCAGAGCACAGCGTGGAGATCATATTTTTTTGCACACAAACACAAGAGGCTTCACTAGTATCAAAAAACACTTTCTCGTGTCCCGTATTGCAGTCAGTGGCTCAGTTGAGGTGGAAGCCTTTCTCCATCGTAGCAGCTAGCAGGCGCTCTCTCATAATCTCCTCAGAAGAATACTCGGGCAGCTTTAGGTAATGCACACACGTATTCACAGATGGGTAACTTGCATCTGTAGCATCAACCTGAGGAAAAGAAAGAACATTTCTCATTGCAGTTGTTCTCTGCGCTCAATGCGGATCGTAAGGTCCTCTAATTCATGGCATTTACCACATACACATTACCAGTTGTCAACAAACAGCAGCATCAGGAAAACTGCAAACCAACTTATGTTTACTTTGTATGTATGTTAATTCTTTTATATTCAAATACGAAGTCAGAGAGGAGACCTCAAGACAGAGGTTAGGACTGAAAGCTGAGCATTGCATCAGAAATTAAAAAACAAAATGAAAAAGCAACCAAAATGAAAAATCATCAGCATTATTTCTTAACGCAGCAATTCACAGGATCAGTGATCTGAAGTCAGGATCAGTGGTCTGAAGGGCAACCTACAACTGCCATACCTTGCGTACAACAGTGAGCCGGGGATGGAGGTTTGCCAGTCCTCCTGGAGGGAGTGTTGAACAACCAGTGGTGAACTGGAGAAAAGCTTTCCTCTCATCCGAAGACATACCGCACAGGACTCGCACAAACCGAAGGAATCCGGGGCTTAGATTAAAAGAGTTATGACAATATTATATGAGAGTGAATTGTTTTTTCAGTTTCCATTACCTTGAGGCAGTACAATTGTGCTCTTTAGTCATGTCTAAGCAGTCACTGGAAGAATCCAGTGCCTGTTCAGTACCGAGTTAAGAATAAAAGCCATAAAAATACTTCTTTCATCTCCTTGCTGCATATTACAATGAGAAGTGCAATTATCTTACTATGATTGGCAATAAATTGAACTCATTTCCCCAAGTCTGTTTTGCCCACAATGATAATTGATGAATGATCATTCCCTGTCCTTATCTCAACCCACAAGCCTTCGGTTACATTTTCTCTGCCCCATCCAGTTGAGGAGGGTGGTGACAGAGTGGCTTTGGTGGGCACCTGGCATCCAGCCAGGGTCAAGCCACCACAGTGTCATTTCATTTCTAGCCTGTTAAAGACTACAATAGCTCTTTAGGGAATCTTTTCATCCATACCAGCCCTGGGAGTGAGGGAGAGAAGAGGGCATGAGGAAAGCAGAGCCTGCTGAAACACACCCTCAGGTATCAGGCACTGTAATCTTAGCTGCATCTTTGTATGCAGGGCAGGGTCAACAGAATAATCGCTCCACACAACATCTTAGACTGATAAGGATCCTTCAGCATGCCTATACTATCATAGTTCCAGAAGTAGTTCATATGTTATTGCTACCAAACATAACAAGCAACAAAAAAAAGAACAAAACCAAAACCCAAAGTATCACAACCACCTCCTGATAGCCAGAGGCCAGTATATTTGTTGCCGCATAATACATTTTTTTAAACTACACTTGAAGAGAAAGATATAAGGAGACAAGTAACAACTATATCCAACTGAACAGAAATTATAAACACCAGCAAAGATGAAAGTAAGAACTCTGAAGTGTGATTTTTACTACCCTGTATTAGTTACCTGCTGTTACATTGCCAATACTTCACATTTTAATATTGTAATTTTTTTATCCCCTCTCATCACAAAGCCGAGTACCTTCCAACCTGACCTATATGTCATAACATACATGGTTATTTTATGCAGTTTTAGACAATCACTTGTTCTTCAGTGAAGACCAATCCCATCCAATATGGTGTCTTTATCTAATGAACATTCTGGACATTTTGTCAATTAATGTATCTTTTAGCTAGTATTTAAAAATCAGAATGTAAGTACCTGTCTCGTGTATATCCCAGTTTAGGTTCAGTATAATTGATGATATCCTCAGCTGCCCAAGAAGGTGATTGATTTCCACAAAGAATCATCTGAACTTCTTCATGGCTGAAGGAACTCAGCTTCTCCATTGGAAAGACTCTATTGAAGCCATCTTTAATTTACACAAGATAAAGTTACAAACATAAGGCAAAAGAAAGTTTATAAAATAATGTCAGCATTTCAATTATATTTTAAATCAAGCCAGTATCAATCAATAGTTTCTTAATTAAGGTAAATGGAACCTCTTCAAGATTAAAAATGGCCTAACCCATGCAAAGTATTATGAAATTAATACCTTATGTATTGCATTCTAAATTTAAACATTTGTTTTTGAAAGCCATTCTATGCTACTGCTTTCAACCAGAACACCATCTATATTCTGCCATATTTAAAATTACCTCTGAACGCCTCCATCTGTTTCTGTATACCAGTATGCATGCAGAAGTCAAACATGAGGTCTACATATTCCTCTGCATTATCCATTGTTACAGTCTGCAAAGACAATATACCAATACCATAAGAATTCACTTTGCATCAGTTATTGCTGAGACAGTAAAAACCTAATTGCTGTTTAAATTGCAAAGGTAGGTTGTTGCCTTACCTCATCTTCACCACCTGGCTTGAGATCCACAGCTGTAAACCCATGCACTTTGGATGAAGGGCAAAACTGAAAATTTAGACTTCAAAATACGAAGAGAATTACTAATTGCAAACAAGTCTACAGATTTATA